AGCTGTGGTGGCATCCAAAGTTATCTTACCTCCTACAGCTCTTTTGGAAGGAGAAACAGTTTTTTGTTGCAGAGTTCCCTTTCCACTTAGAAGCTACTAAGAAGCTAGTAATAAGTATATACTTAAGGTAGCACTGTTGGTTTAGTCTTCCAATATGCATAAAGACCCAGAGTGATTCATCGGCAATGGTTCACGGTTCCCTTCCTCCAGAGGCTGGTGTCCTGGGCACGCATCCTGCACTCTCGTGCCCAGGGTCCAACATGGAGCAAACCAGGCGTGTCCTGCTACAAGGACATGCAGGCCCAAGAGAGGACGCTTTGCTGCAGGCTCTACTCCATGGACAGAGACCGCATCCTGGTACCTTGGCTGAAGTTTCTGTTACATGGCTCTGACTTGAGGGACCAGTGATATAAGTGGCTTTACACTCCAGGCTTTCTCAGGCTGCGTTCCCAGAACATGTTCAGCCTGCACATTGTGTGGGTTGCATACTAGCTTTTCTAGTCTTTCTGCTTTCCCTGCCACAGACTGCCAGACAACTGCAAAACAACAGCCAGAAAAAATTTCTCTACCTGTACTTTAAAACTTTTCTCTTATTTTGAGCCCTTGTGTACTACTTGTGCCTAGAACCGCAGGTCGATATCATTTCAAATAACTTGTTCCCGCTTAACTACTATTTATTTGGAAGGCCTAAATAGGCAACCTCGGCACGATGCCATGTCGAAACAGCAAAGCCGGCACAACCGCGGCAACGCTGCACCCAGGCAGAAGGGCTGCAGTCTGCTGCCGTCGTGTCACCGCTGCCTAAGGGCAGGCGTATACTGCTGGCACAAAGCAGAGCGCTCTGCCAAGCCTTAAAGAGTCTGTCCTTACCACCGCTCGCAACACGTGCACCCAAAGCTCTGCTCTTGCAGGGCTTTTAACCCAGGGAAATAATGAGGACTAAGCATGCAGCTACCCTGGGTAAGGAGCAAGGGAACAAGGGTCTCCTCTTCGATAGGGACAAGGGAATGAACTGTCAATGAGTACAGAAAAAATGCCTCTTTAAGTATATATACTTTGATTTTCCAAGGGAAAAAAAAACAAAAACAGGCTGTGCCAAATCACTACACACATGATTCTTGAGCTCAGCTGTTCTAGAGCTCTTTTTTTGGCCAGATTCTAAAGTCATTTCAATAAAAGTGGGTGATCAGCCAGCTCTAAAATTGACATAAGCTAGTAAAAATCAAAATGGGCATCTGACCTCTGCCCTTTGCCAAAAGGAGATCCTTAAACAAAAATAGCTGCGTGTGGGTTTTTTTTTTTTTTTAAATAATTCAACCCCAAAAGGAGAGCGGATCTAGAAAAACAAACACCAAATTGGGTTTACAAAGTTCAAGCTAATATGTAATCCCAATGCCTGTGGGATTCTCCAGTGATTAAAAACCGAGTTGCCCCTGCCACAGGGTGGACAGGTGATAGAAAGGGACTTACCTGGAGAGGCTTAACGCTCCCCTTGGGAGCCTGGACCGACTCAGGGAAAACAAATGCTGCTGCTAAAAGTCACTCCAGTTTCTCCCTTAACAGCAGCAGCCACTCTGCCTCTCCAGGCCTTTGACACAGGTCATTTTATTGCTTCCAGCACCCCACTGCCCAGAACAGCTGTGCAGCCTAAACCTAAACTATTTTGGTATAACATCTCTGTGCAAATAGGTGCTCATACTACAGTGCACCAATTTGCAAATACACAAACTCGGGATCCTTGCCATGAAGCTAATTAGAGAATAACCAATTCATTCCTGATCTCTCAATGCAGCTAAGAGAAAGCCAACAAGTACTTAATACCAATTTCGATTAATAAGTGTAAGTTTGTATGATACAATCTGGAACCAACCATCCATTGCTTTTTTATTTCATTTATATTTTGGTGCCTTCAAGGTGCCCCAAGAGAACACGTCCCTGTTATAAGCATCTTTTCATGGCAATTACTGTTGTGGTTATAGGAGAACATTTACATCAGTACTAGTACGGTTGGGATACCGCACAAGCGGAGGCTGTCAGCTCACAGAGCACCAGGAACAGTCCAAGATTATTTATTCCTCTCAACCCTATCGTACCAGAAGCTTTTAGGTAGTTTAGCTTTCCCTCATTAACAGGTAGCGCTGTCTGGGGAAGAGCAGAGAGGTGCTCGGCAGCCCCATCCTGGATCGCAAGGCAGAACTACACGGTCTTGCAGTGGGAAGCGCAGAGCCGCGAAGCGGAGCAGGGGAGGAGCGTAACACCACTGCAGCATTTACATGAACACGTTATTCCACGAGCAGGTCTCTAGGTGCTATTTTGGCAAGATTTGACATCATAATAGCAACAGAAATATTAATAGGATATTACCACAAAACCCATGTATTTTTAAATCAGAAAGCCGAAATAAATTTATCGACATCACTTTTATGGGGACCTATATGTACTTCATGAGACATCATATGCCATGATTTTATGCTAAAGTTGTATCCTAACCATTTCAGCAGAAGCAAAGTTTATATACTTCACAGATCAAAAAAGAATCTTTCTTCTACAAATACAATTAGCAAGGTGAGTAGTGCTATTCCACTGCAAGCACATTTCTGTAATAAAATATGTGGGTTTTGTGCCTTCTTCCTGACACGTGTAATACATTATTCCATTTTTCTCTTTTGTACTTTCAGAAGCGAAATAGACATTTGGGAAAGTCTAATTTAATATTATCACTTTAATGCATTCAAACATATCACTAAAAACTGTGCTGCTAAAATTACATTACAGAACAGCCACATATGACAGATAGAGTTTTCTCCTTGAAAAACATGGGCCCTGTGCTCCAGCACTTACTGATGTAGGATCACTTCCACGAATGAGGATTACTCCCAGGAGAGCAGAATTGCACCTATCGTTTGTATATCTCTTTTTGTATGCGTATCCCTATTTTCCCCTTCTTTTTTTTTTTTTTTTGCTGTTTTTTAGGAGGCTGTCAGCTCACAGAGCACCAGGAACAGTCCAAGATTATTTATTCCTCTCAACCCTATCGTACCAGAAGCTTTTAGGTAGTTTAGCTTTCCCTCATTAACAGGTAGCGCTGTCTGGGGAAGAGCAGAGAGGTGCTCGGCAGCCCCATCCTGGATCGCAAGGCAGAACTACACGGTCTTGCAGTGGGAAGCGCAGAGCCGCGAAGCGGAGCAGGGGAGGAGCGTAACACCACTGCAGCATTTACATGAACACGTTATTCCACGAGCAGGTCTCTAGGTGCTATTTTGGCAAGATTTGACATCATAATAGCAACAGAAATATTAATAGGATATTACCACAAAACCCATGTATTTTTAAATCAGAAAGCCGAAATAAATTTATCGACATCACTTTTATGGGGACCTATATGTACTTCATGAGACATCATATGCCATGATTTTATGCTAAAGTTGTATCCTAACCATTTCAGCAGAAGCAAAGTTTATATACTTCACAGATCAAAAAAGAATCTTTCTTCTACAAATACAATTAGCAAGGTGAGTAGTGCTATTCCACTGCAAGCACATTTCTGTAATAAAATATGTGGGTTTTGTGCCTTCTTCCTGACACGTGTAATACATTATTCCATTTTTCTCTTTTGTACTTTCAGAAGCGAAATAGACATTTGGGAAAGTCTAATTTAATATTATCACTTTAATGCATTCAAACATATCACTAAAAACTGTGCTGCTAAAATTACATTACAGAACAGCCACATATGACAGATAGAGTTTTCTCCTTGAAAAACATGGGCCCTGTGCTCCAGCACTTACTGATGTAGGATCACTTCCACGAATGAGGATTACTCCCAGGAGAGCAGAATTGCACCTATCGTTTGTATATCTCTTTTTGTATGCGTATCCCTATTTTCACCTTCTTTTTTTTTTTTTTTTTTTGCTGTTGTTTAAAATATGGGTAGGACAGTTAATTAATTTATAGCGCTAGATATCATTGTGCCGTACTTTTATCCCTTCAAAATATAACTGTCTTTTGGATGACATATAAAATGCTTTCATGAGCAAAACAAAGTACAAGAAGCAGAATCTGTACTATCTAGTTAAAAACAAACAAGTAAAAAGAGGAAGGGCCTACTGTTCACCATCAAAACTTTTTCATGTGTTATTTCATATTCTTGTTCCTATTCATGGCCTCTGCTCTTGGGTGTAGATTATTTATTTTCATTATTTTTCCGTGCTAAGTTCTAGTGAGCTACTGCAGAGTTCTAGCGCGATGCTGAAGGCATTGCCAGACAAAAATCAGCCAAACCTTCGAGGCAGATACCACAGCCATACAGATACTGAATAATAAAGCAAAACTTTTAGGTGTTTTTCACCTTATGCTAATAAAGGACCAGTAAGTCTAGCCTTACTTCATCACTGCCATATGCCTTACGTACAAAATACATCTCCTTCTTATCCTTAGGAAAACAGGGTAAGTCACTAATGCTTTTTCAACTGTTTTACAATGCAGCAGTATAGTTAGTGCATCATAAGAATGTTATACGAGTCTCAGTTTCTATTCCCAAACTAATCAGAAATGTACTTAGCTGAATAAAGAGCATCATTATCCTTACAGGAAAGAACTAAAACTTATTATGAAAAGTAATATAATTTTATTCAGCTTCTCCAGTTTGACACTGAATTAGTCTCAGTTGCAACAAATCAAACTTGGATCATAAATATACTCAGTTTTAATAGCGTGCTGTAGCAATCTGAATACCGGGAAATACATATTAAATTATACAAGTTAATATAAGAAGGTTTGATTTTAACTTTAATGTCTGTTCTGTAGGTAGCATTTACCATATCCTAGGGTTAGAAAAAAGGATATTGAATGCCTTTTCAGGAGTCTTTAAGCCATTTTAAAAGCAAAAAGAATACAGACTATTTTTAGACAAACTGGTAAGAACCTACACGCGCTACGTACCGTGAACTGCAAACAGCTGACGAGGGCTTCTGAAAACATCAAAAGTTGCACGAACTTACCAAAGCAACTCGTCTTCTTCCAAGAGCAGTAGTTTATGGAGAAGTAAATTTGAGTTACAAAAGACCGCGTGTCCTGGGTCCATTTTGCATACGGCTTAACCTTAAAATCCATCGGGCTGTGTCAGGTGCAGCTGAGGAGCACAGGTCTCCCCTCTCCAGCAGGCACATTTGGTGCTCGCCAGGCCGTTTCGCTCGAGATGTTTGACGGCCTCAGCGCGGCCGGGCCAGCAGCCACTTGTTGCAATGGTGACAGGCAAAGCCAGGCTCTGCCTGCCCAGGCTGCGGCGTGAATAATTCATGCCTTTCACCTCCCCACATTAGCATGCCATTCAGGCAGCACAAATGAAGCAATTCATTTTGTCCTTTGTCTTCAGGAAAAGCCCGCTGGATTAATGAGGGTTATCTGTGATGATAAAACCCGGGCCAGCTGATTTATTTAGCCTGATTGGTTAGAATTTGTGTCTCTGAATGCAGGTTTTATTGCTCGAATGTAAATGCTGTTGTGCATTTCCAACCTTTATTCTGGCAGGCTACAGTATCTAGCTGCAGCACATGAATGTTTCATTTTCTTGACTTAAATATTGAAGCCGGGCTCTTTGTCTGAGCCCTTCTTCAGCAAAGTTAAGAGGAAATCTAGAAGTATGCTGCTTGCACATGTTTTTGCACATGTTTCTGTAATGACCGCTTGGACTGCTAAATAGCTAACACCTGGCTTTCAAAACGTTCACTCTTTAAGTACAGGATGGAGAAAAAACTACAATGAAGAACAGCAAGTTTATAATCCATTTTTCCAAAAGGAAATCACATATATGGCAATGTTATTTTTCTAAAAGAAGGTTTTGACAGTTATAGATTTCAATTTGAGATTTTAATTTTCATTTAGAGGTTTTTTATATCATTAGCAGTGACCCCATCTCTATGGGGGCTAGAACAAGCTACCGAGTACCGCAGTGAACGCCTCATTTCCTGGACTCCTTTCTACAAGATATGCTTTAGTCAAACACAAAAAGCCTCGGAACAGGCAAAAACAGTTAAAATGTAGAGAAGATAACAACAAAGTCCTTAAAATCCTCTCAGCATTATATTATATTCATGTAGTTTATTGAAGTCTGTAGTGCATATTTTCATGTCACTTGAGTATAGTGATTTCTGTAATCTTTAAATGACGGAGTTTTACATTGATTTCAAGATTTCATGCAGAACACCATTACATTTTCATGGAAATTAGGCTGGTGAAAGTTTGCTGGGAAGATTCATAATGTTTACCGCTGTGACTTTCTAGAATAACCCAATTGGACCCATTTTTTCTTCCACTGTTTTCTCATCATGCTGGTTATTGCAGGGAAGATTTCTTAAAGAAAAACACCTTGGAGCATAAGAACATGAAATCATTTGATTTTGCTTGAGATCTTATAAGTAAAGCTTATTTGTGGCTCTGACATTTTTATTTTAGACTGTTTCAGACAAGCACAGTACTATTCAGCTTTTGATGCATATGGGATTGAATGACTAAGGTCTTTCATGACCAGCTTAAAACTGCAGCAGAAACGGAGGAGCTTGTGAAAATCTGCTAGATTTTGGCACAGACTAGAACTTGCTGTTGCTTCCAGATTGCAGATGCGGTAAGGTTTTAACGTGTTGAACACAGACATCCCTTCTGAGGTCACATCCTCTTATGGTGGACCTCTAACAATGGCTGAAGAGTATTTTTGCACCTGAAATAATGCTGCTACTTCTCCTACAGTTAATGTTGAAATTGTCCCTTAGGCTAGGTGCAACTTTAAAGGAAAGGTTAGGAAGAAAGGAGGAAGATAACCAGATAGATACTGGCCAACTCAGTCCTTTGAAACATTTCCCCTTAGGCTGTACCGAGACAGAAACTGAGCCAGGGCTTATCTTCATTCAGTTTATAGAGTGCTATCTCTGGCTGCAGCTGTGAGAAGGGATTAAGCAGGTCGATACCAGCAGGACAGGTTCAGCAGTGAGGCTGCCATGTCCTGCAGCTTCTCTAAACGTCTCCAGGTAGATGGTGCAAAGGAATGGGTGCAGAGAAGATCTACTGAGAAGGAAAAGGGAATAGCTACATACCGATGCTACATGAGTTTTGCCTGGAAAACTGATTGGCATGGTTGTTGCTTCGATTACCTATTGAACCTGTGTCACATCTGCAAGCCAGTGACAAATTGTGGTTGACTGTGCTTGAAAGCTACAGAAATGTTGACTAGCATGAGCAGAAAGATGGAGTTCCTATCCGTTGCCATCAAAACATCATCTTTTAGTGCTGTTGACAGTTTAATAGCTACTCCTGTACATTGGAGGGCATTGGAAGTACCATTACTATATTATTAACTCAGGCTGGAAAGTTCCCTGCAAATGCAGAGCAAAAACCATGTATATGGAGCTTCTGAAATACATTAAGATTAAAGGTGTGTGCTATTCACATCATTAATGTTCTCTTTCTAATCGGTTTTCGTGATGAGGACACAATAATAATTTAACCCCTGCTTACCCTATAGCGTTTTTTTTCAGATCAGATTGATTGCTTTCCATTTTAAAGATCCAGATGATACCAATCAGTTCAAGTGAAAATCAAGCATTTTAAATTCCGTTTGCTTCCTCTGGGCACCTCAGACGGGATGTGGATATGTGGGAGCCATGCTGCCTCTCCCTGACCTGGGAGATAGAGCACACGGTGCTCTAGTCGGGGCTATCGGAGCTACATTCCCTTGGTAAAGCTTCACTGTCCATAAAAATGTCATTGTGGAAAGCTGCATCCATGTACGCAATTATTATTTGAAATCATTCCTAGAATGTCCTAAGCGTTGTCACACATTTGAGATGGTTTGCATGGCCCCAGTCTGTCATCGTTCAAAGCAGACGTGTACAGTATCAGACAGAGCACGCATACTGCCTAGCTGTGGAGCGACGGGAGGATGGTGTGACTCCAGAACGGACTGGGGGCTCAGGAGGTTCGAGTGTGACTGTCTATTGATACCTTTAAATTAGTTATCACTGGAGTATCTGGTTTCTGCCAAGGTGTTGCAGAAAATCAGTGAGATGTGTCTGGGAGGTTGGCGGATCAATTCTGCACTGTGCCCGTGAGCTGACCCTTGTCTTTCCATGTGTCACCTCATTTTTTTGGCTTTTTTTTTTATTCTCGGGCACCAGGGAGAAGCCTGCTGAGAGGCCCTGGCTCCGGCTGCCGTGTACCGACGGTGGAGCAAGCTCCGCTCCGAGCACGCGCCTGGTGGCTCTGCCGGCGAGCTGTGCCAGCAGGGCAGCGCTCCAGGCCAGCTGGGGACAACGCCGCTGCCCAGCCCCGAAGAGACGCCGTCACGGGGCGGCAGGCTCGCCGGAGCAGGGCTGATGCATTCTGCTCTGACATTACCTCCCATCTGTCTTTCCGAAGCACCAGGAAAAACAAAGCATGACAAAAATGTCAAGCTGTGAAAAGACAAGTCAAAAGCCAGAAAATTCCCAGTGACTGCTGATGCTTTAACTCAAGTCATTAACTCAGAGGCATGTCTGAAGCCTTAGCTGACCTTCTCCTAGTGTGTCTAACTATCCAGTTATAAATATCTGTACATTGTAGGGGGCACAGACTCATATATTGAGTACAGGCGGGGAATAGGGATTGCTGAGTTAAGAGGCTGGGAGTCACTTATATGGGGAAGAAAAGGGGCAACAAAGAGAAATCTCCCCAAAAATCATGGGCAGGAAGGCAGGTGAGGGAAGAGAGAAGCTCAGCCAGGATACTGGCAGGAAAAAAACAAAAAGGGTACTACAACTTAAATGGGGAACCTAAGAGAGAAGACATGAGCAAAAAGGTGACCAGAAAAGATGGAGAATAACTGTGAAAACAGGGGTCTGGTATCAGTTTGGTGCAGACCGGGACTGAAGTGGAAATGGAAGGGGTCAACTTTCTCTTAGAGGGAGGATACGTCATTAGGACAGGGAAAGACTGACGAAGAAAACACACCAGAAAGAGCTCCGATTTGGCAGGGGAAGGAAGAGTCAGGGTATATTAGACTCATGGCTCCTCGGTACCTGGGGTGGACCAGGATTCAGATCTCAATGCCCCTCTCTGCCCAGTATATTTTGCTTATTGTCCTAATAGCCGAGTCCTATCCTTAATGTTTGCCCACATCACTTGATGTATTAGCTTAGGTGGGAGAGTTTTGCAAGGTGGATCTAAAGGCCCCATTTTAGCTTGTCACACATGTAGCTAATATAATATTCAGTGCTGAGATTCCTGAATTTCTGTTTATTATTTAAAAAATTCAAATTATGCATAAGAAAGAGGGACTGGAACTATTGCTAAGGACGCAAGTAAAGTATTCAAAAGTAAGGAAATTCTAGAAAAAGCTGAGGAGTGAAGGCTCCATTTTCAGGTTTTTGCAAACCCTATTGGATACATATGTGTGTGTGTGTGTGTGTGTGTGTGTGCGCGTGCACACACACATGTGGGTACACATACAAACACTTTTATATGAGTATGTTGTATGTACATATACATACACACACACCCCTCTCTGTCTTTCCTGTTCAAGACCTTAGAAACAAGCCACCATGTGCTTTTTTTTTTTTCTTCTTTCCTCAAATGAGAAGTATCTGGCTCTTTGAACATGCTTCGAAAAATCTTTGAAAAAGTTAAAATGCTTATATTCAGTTAAATAGTTTAAGATTAATGACTACAGTAACTTCAACATAATTCACAATTAAAAGCAATCAAACCCCAAATTGTTCTTATTCAGATATTTCTTTCTAGCATCAGTAATAGCCTGTATACTTTTTGGTGAAGTGGGCACCATAAAACTACATTCCAGAGTTTACAATTGTTGTAAATACAGATTTATGGGCAATAAGGAAGTATCTCTATGTACCTTCTTGTGCTTCTCACTTATTCGGATAAAGCTGAGACATCCTATAAATGTCTTTAATTAGTCTGAGCACTTAATTTAGCAAAACAAGCAGTTTACCCAAACACAAACTGCTCTTCTCCAGCCACCATGTACATGAAATAATTATTTTTGCAAGATAAATAAAGTTATAGGTGAGTTTATACCAACCTAATTAAGGCACAATTTAAATCTAAAGCAGGAATATTTTTGCATCACTATTTAACCAAGGGAAATAAAATATTATCTGTTAATAAATACCATAGTACTCTTTTTAT